TTGTACTTCTATAGGACAGCACCAGGCTAGAACATTTAAAAACAAAGTAGCTAGAACTTGAACTTATCAGTATCTCATATGCCCACTCTCTGCTTTTGGAAATGGAATTGTAAAATAAAGTAGCTATCTGGCTTTTATGTATGCTTTTAATTTTTTTTTCCTAATGAGCATACATTACTTTTTAAATGGAGGAAGTAAAAATGTCATATTTTGTTTATATTCTTAGTTACAAAAAAAAGGGGGCTGGAATTTAAGACATGTATCATAAAAGATTAAAAACAATGAATAAATCAAATTCTCCTATTACTTGGGAAATATACTTTGCACCTTACATCAGGTGCAAAATGAGGCACCTCCAGTAGGAGTGGAATCTGGGAGAACAAGAATTCGCTGTCTACTTGTACAGAAGTTACAATTCTCCTCACAGTAAAATCACGGAAGCACCACCACTCAGGTGACTGTGACTTTCCAAGCCACGGTGCTCACATTCCTCCTGTGTTTTATGAGAAAGGGGAGCTGTTTTTCAGGCACTGAGAATTAAGAATACACACTTAAGTCAATGATGGCAAAGTATGTGCAATTTCGGCTTTCCATATCTAGGATGTAAATGAGACCTTTTACAATAAATCTTACTAGTTCTAATCTTCTGATATAAAGGGACTTGTCCACAAATTATTTACAATGTGACCAGTTCATGATTTTTCAGTGACATAGACCATTTGTGCTGCTCTTTTTTTCTAATTGGTTAAGGGTAATTTATTTTGAAATGTTGCTTTTGTGTTGTTTGCATTCTGGCAAGATACTGGAACACTTTTTTTTTTTTAAAGCCTCCTTCTGACAGGGACCCCATCCACTGTACATCTTCAGGCCTTTCTGTGAGGTCCCGTGAAACGCGAGTGTCTAGCAATGCTCTCGTGTGTTCACTTCATCTGCTAAAGCAACTGGCACGACCACGCCCTGCCGCTGCAGCTCTCGGAGAACATCTAGTATTGAGTCTAATTCTGTGCGAAACTTGTCCAGCTCACGATTCTTCAGCTGTGCAAGTCTTTTCCATTTCTCGATTTCTTTGTTTTGCTCAGTTTCTACTACTTGGTGTGTCTGCTGTATTATCTGCAAATTAAAAAAAAGCCATGTTATTGTTAAGTTTGTAGTGGGGGTGAAGACCATCTAACAACCTCGAAGAGCTCAAGTGGGGCAGTGGTAAACTGGTGACCTAAATATCGCGGAGGGAGGGGAGCTTTACCTAACAGCCTCCGCTGCGTCAATAAACAGGCTTGCAAGTGAAGAGAGTAAGTGGGAAATTTAACTTCCTAATTCCGACAGGGAGTTAAAAAGAGAAAAAGACTTTAATGTCCTTAAGTAGGGGAAAAGGGTACCATTTAAAGCATCACATTTCTAATACCTTGGAATGAATCCAAACATCCCCAAAATGAGCTTGAGATACAATCAAGACAGTTTTAATGCAATCCCTGTCATTAATGAACCACACACTGTAGCAGTAGGAATTAAGAGAAAAGCACACACATCTATCCTGTGCCAGGCTTGGTTTTAAGCATTTTACATATGTTAACTCACTTAATCCTATCAACACACTAGGAGATAAGAGTCTACATATTGCCCCCTTCCCATTTAACAGGTAGGGAAACAGAGGCACAGATGTGTAAAAAAGATTCACCAGGAACCTGCTGGGCAGAGTGAGAATTTACACCCAGGCAGGCTGGCCCCAGAGCCCCTGCTCTTAAACTACCAAATCAGATCGCCTTGCTTATGTGAATCAGTTTTTCAAGATTGTTTTTGATGCTACCATAAATGGGATTGTTCTTCAGACAATTTGTTGTTAGTATACAGAAACATTACTGATCTTTGTACACTGATTTTGATATCCTGCAACTTTGATAATTTGTTGGCTAACCAGCAGTTTTTTGGTGGAGTTTTTAGGGTTTTCTGTATATAAAATCATGTCACTCACAAATGGAAACAATTTTACTCCCTTCTAATTCTGATGCCTTTGTTTCTTTTTCTTGTCTGACTGCTCTGGCTAAGACTTCCTGTACTATGTTGAATAGGAGAGAGGAGTGAGCACCTTTATCTTGTTCCTGATCTTAGTGGAAAAGCTTCCAACCTCTCACTGTTGAATGTGATGTTAGCTGTAGTCTTGCTATTTATGACCTTTATTATGTTGATGTACATTCTTTTTATACCTAATTTGTTGAGAAGTTTTTTTCTTTATCATGAATGGGTGCTGAATTTTGTCAAATGCTCTTTCTACATCTATTGAGAGGATCATGATTTTCATTTTTCATTCAATTAATTTACTGATCTGCATATGCTGAACCATCTTTACATCCCAGGGATGAACTCCACTTGATAATGGTGCATGGTCAATGGTGTATAATGTGCTGTTGAATTTGGTTTGCTAATAATTTGTAATTTTTTTTGGAGAATTTTTGCATCTGTATTCATCAGGGAAATCAGCCTGTAGTTTTCTCTTCTTGTCGTGTCCTTAACTGGCTTTGTTATCTGGATAATGCTGGTCTTGTAAAATGTATTCGAGAGTGTTCCCTCGTCTTCTACCTTTTGGAAATGTTTGAGAAGGACTGGCATTAATTCTTTAAAAATTTGGAATTCACCGGTGAAGACATCTGTACTGCAATTTTCTTTCTTGGGAGATTTTTGATTACTAACTAAATCTCCTTTCTAGCATAGTCTTTTCAAGATTTTCTATTTCTTAATGACCCAGTCTTAGTAGGCTGTGTGTTTCTAGCATTTCCTCTAAGTTGTTTGGTTGTTGGCGCTTAGTTGTTCATAGTAGTCTCCTCTGACCATTGTCCTTCTGTGGTATCAGCTGTAATGTCTCTGCTTTCATTCATAATTTTGAGTCATCTCACTTTTTTTCTTGGTTAGTCTAGCTAAAGGTTTGTGAATTTTGCTTATCCTTTTTAAAGAATCAACTCTTTGTTTTGTTAATCTTTTCTATTTCCCTGTTCTCTGTTTCATTTACTTCTGCTCTAATCTTTATTTCCTTCCTTCTGTTAACTTTGGCCTTAGTTTGTTCTTTTTTTTAGTTCCTTGAGGTATAAAGCTAGGTTTTTTTTTTATTTGATATCTTTCTTTTTCTTGATATATGCATTTATCACTATAACCTTCCCTCTCAAATGTTTTTGCTGCATTCCGTTAGTTTTGGTATGCTGTGTTTCAAGTTTCATTTATGTCAAGATATTTCTTAATTTTCCTTTCAATTTCTTCTTTGGTCCATTGGTTATTTAGGAGTATGCAGTTTAATTTCCATGCATTTGTCAAATTTCCAGTTTTCCTCCTGTTGATTTCTAGTTTCGTATCATTGTGGTCAGAAAAGATACTCGCTATGATTTCAATCTTCTTAAGTTTGCTAAGACTTGTTTGGAGGCATTAACACAGGCTCCACCCTAGAAAATGTTCCTCGTATGCTTGATAAAAATGCATATTTTGCTGTTGTTAGGGGGAAGGTATTGTATGTATCTCTTAGATGCATTTTTCTCTAGTTATCATTTGAATTCTGCTGCTTCCTATTGATTCTCTAGATGAAATATCCACTGTTGAGAGCAGGGTATTAAAGTCCCCAATTATTACTGTATTACTATTTATTTCTCCTTTTAGTTCTGTTAGCATTTGTTTTATATATTTAGGTGCTCTGATGTTGGCTGCATAAATATTTATGTGTTATATCTTACTGAAGGATAGAGTCCTTTATCACTATATAATTACCTTGTCTTTATTGACGATTTTTTGCTTAAAATCTGTTTTGTCTGATGTACCTGTAGTTACTCCTGCTTTCTTTTGGTTACCATTTGCTTGAAGTATCTTTTTCCATCCCATTCACTCTCAGTCTATGTGTGTTTTTAAAGCTAAAGTGAGCCTCTTTTTGGTAGCTTATTGTTTGGATCCTGTTTTTTATCTCCTCAGCAATTCATTATTTTGAATGGAGAATTTAAACTGTTTATATTTAAGGTAATTATTGATAGATAAGAACTTAATATTGCCATTTTGTTATTTTCTGTTTTGTAGATCCTTGCTTCTTACATTTCTAGGGTTCTTTTGATGACTTTTTATAGTGGTTACCATGAGGCTTACATAAAATGTGATACATTTATAACATCCTATTTTAAGATGATAAAAGCTTCAATAGCATACCTAAACTTGACACTTTTGCTTCTTTCCACCTCAATTTTAAGTTACTGATATTACAATTTATGTATTTTTAATATTATGTGTCCAATAACAAATATAATTATGATTTTTAATGTTTGCTTTTTAAATTTTAAACTAAGTTTTAAATGAATTATGCACCACCATACAAGATTATAGAATCTGACTTTGATCATATATTTACCAATACCAATGAGTTTTACATCTACATTCATATTTTTTTAACATTTTTTATTGATTTATAATCATTTTACAGTGTTGCGTCAAATTCCAGTGTTCAGCACAATTTTTCAGTCATTCATGGACATATACACATTGTCACATTTTTTTCTCTGTGATTTATCATAACATTTTGTGTATATTTCCCTGTGCTATACAGTGTAATCTTGTTTATCTATTCTACAATTTTGAAATCCCAGTCTATCCCTTCC